AGGAGAGCTATCCAGAGAAACCCTGTCTCAAAAAACCAAAAAACCAAACCAGACCAAACAAACAAAAACAACCCCCCTCCCCCCAAAAAAACCCCCACAGATTTTACTCTGGAACTGGGCATGGTGGAACACACCTCTAGTTCCAGCACTCAGAAGCAGAGGCAGATGGATCTTGGTGAGTTTGAGGCCAGCTTGGTCTACAGAGAGAGTTCCAGGACAGTCAAGATTAAACAGCCTGCCCCCACCTCAAGATTTTATTATGTAACTATTGTTTTTTAACTTAAACAAACTTCTTTTTCATCATTTGTACCAAGTGTCTTTGGCACTTTCTTCTTCCCTATACACGTTTTCAAGCTTGACTTTAAAAAAGTATCTGTTTTTATGTGTGTTTTCCTAAACCAGAGTATATGAACCACCTGCATGGAGGCCCCGGGAACTGGGGTGCAGGCAGTTCAGTTGCCCTGTGGGTCCTGGGGTCTGAATCTGGAATCTGCTAGAACAGCAAGTGCTCTTACCGGGAGCAATCTCTCACGCCCCTGGCTTTTCCTTTTTGACATTAAAGGCATAAGTGTCCCATTATGCGCATCTGAGAATGATGGCGCCTGTCCTTATCCATCACCCAACGCTGCTTTGCTGCTTTTTTGGTGTGTTAACTGTGTTGGCATGCTAAACTACCAGCAGTTTTAAACAACAGAAAGTTAGTCTGAGATGAGAGCGACAGCAGGGTTAGGGTGCTAAGGGCGCTCATGTTTCCCATCTGAGGAGAACAGATTTCCTGCTATGTCTTGCCATGGCTTTTCCTGAAAGAAGCAAAGCCACCGAGAGAGTGAGCTTTCCGGGCCTCTGCTTATGGAGTCATCAGTGACCTCGTGGATGATGGCCCCGCCTCCGTGTTTAACACTAAGTACAGTCTCAAAAGCCCTACCCCTAAACAAGTTAGTCTGGACTAGCGTCTCTGTCTAGAGTTTTGAAGGAACACTAAGCAAGCGTTCTGTCTACAGCTCTTGTCAAGGCAGTCTCCTGAGTGGCTTTTCAACCCACACGTGGGCTTTAAGAAAGGTGGTGTGGCGGAGAGATGGCTCAGGGAGTAAGAGCTGGTAGCTCTTCCAGAGGACCTGGGTTCGGTTCCTGCCACCCACACGGAGGCTTACAGTGTCTGTATCTCCATTTCCAGGACAGCCTGTCCCTTCTTACCTCATGAGCACCAGGCATGAAGTGGTGCACAGACATACATGCAGGCAATACACCTATACACATAAAAAATACATCTGGGCATGATGGCACATGCCTTTAGTCTCAGTGCTGGGGAGGCAGGAGGATCTCTGAGTTTGAGGCCAGTGTGGTCTACAGTGCCAGTTCCAGGACAGCCAGGCCACACAGAAACCCTGTCTTGAACAACCAAATACATACATACATACATACATACCTTCATACACACATGCATACACACATAACGAACATACATTCATACATACAGATATACATACATTCATACACATACATACCCACATACATGCATTCATACATGCATGCACGCATACATAACACACATATATAACACACACGCATACATACATGCACGCATGCATACACACATAAGTTCATGTATGGACTCTGGGCCTGGTGTACAGGGACTGCGCTGGGATTATCACTTTGGGCCAGAAGGTCTCTTTCGAAGGCCCAAAGTTGGCTCCTTTCTTCTACTTGCTCATGAGTGTCCCTGGGCGCTTGGGCGGATCCATCTGTCTTCCACAGGGGGGGACAGCAGGTTTACTGCAGCAGGCCAAGCGCAGCACGGAGGTCCGCTGCCTTGCCTTTGCTGCTGTAGGGAGCTGCTGGCCGGCAGCGGAAGCATGCTCCTGATTTGAGGGGCTCCCTTTTCTGTGTAGTTGAAGTACTGTTTCATCCAGTGCTCAGCCATGCTGTCTTGCCCCTCATGACTCTAACATAAGAACAAAGGCAGAAGTGTTTACTGTCCTCCCTGGGACTGGCAACCAGCATGTCATACCAAACACTCCAGGTTGGGTACGTTGCTACACTCCTGTAGCCCCAGCACTTGGGGGTAGGGGCAGGTGGATGAGGCCTTCAAGGTCATCCTTGGGGACATAGCATGTTAAAGGCCAGCCTGGGGTACAAGGGAACCTGTTTATACATATTGTGTTCTGTTAACACTGAAGTCAGTGGCCTGAAGCACAGCCCTCCACACACAGGGGAGCGCCCTCACTCAGCCAGCTAGAGGTCCTAACAGAACAAGCCACCTTCTTGGAGGAGGAATTCTGTGGGAGGAGGGCGACCCTTTTTATCTCCAGCTTGCCACCAGATCATAATTTCAGATTTGTCGTTTCTTCTTATTTATTTATTTATTTATTTATTTTATCTGCATGTACACTTGCCTGCTGGGAGAGGGCATTAGATCCCATTACAGATGGTTGTGAATCACCATGTGGGTGCTGGGAATTGAACCACGGTTCTCTGCAAGAGCAGCCAGTGCTCTTAAGCACTGAGCCGTCTCGCCAGCCCCAGACTTTCAGTTTTTTAAGTCTCTTTCTATTTATCTATACACACTTCCTGCTGGGTTTTCCCTCTGAACAAGACAGATTTTAACTGCCTTGGAGGAACTGAAGTCTGGCTGGGACACAAGCTGACCTGATAATCGCCTGCAGAGCACCACTCCTACATGGAGGCAGCACGCCCCAGGACGCACACACGAAAGCACTCGGAGTCCTGCTCTGTGCATCACTGTCCAGACCTGGAAGCTCTGGCAGACTGACAGGACGGCTGAGAGAGTGCTGGCACCTCACACACGCACCTCACATGAGATCACACACGCACCTCACATGAGATCACACACACACCTCACATGAGATCACACACACACCTCACATGAGATCACACACGCACCTCACA